CTTAGCCATAAAGAATGAGAAAGTAGAGACATTTATAGCTAAATGGATGCATACTGAGGCCATACTCAAGTGAAATAAATAGGACACACATATAAAAACCAAATAGTTTCTTTGGTGTGAAAAACTAAAAGTGTAAATAAGGAACAAAATGCATAATAGGTAATTTGAAATAGGATCAAAAGATCCAAAGGTGAAGTAGGAGGTTTAGGGGAAAGTAAAGAAGGGAAAGGAATAAATATGAGAAAATGAAAAAATGGAAACAAAGTATTTGTAAATAGGTAGGGGTGGAGGGGTTGAAGGGAAGGGAGGGGAATGGAGGAAAAATAAGAACCAAGACGGATGATGTAAAGGTATAAATTTGCGAAAATGAATGTCAGCATATTGTATACCAAAAATGTACCAATAAAATTGACAAATAATGGCCGGGTGTGGTGGTGCATGCCTGTAATCCCAACACTCGGGAGGTTGAGGCAGGAGGATCCCTGTGAGTTCGAGACCAACCTGGGCTACACAGTGAGTTCCAGGTCAGTCTCAACTACATAGTGAGACCTTGTCACAACCTCCCCCCAAAATTCATGAATAATAAAAAAGAATTCCTCAATATCCTCTAGTTTCATAAAATAAAGAGAATTACAATGAATATTTTTGGACTCTAACATTTTTTTCCAGTTTCAACTAATGGCACTGGGTTCTCTTACACTTGAAAGGTAGGCATAGGTATACAACAGTAAAAGACTAATATGTTTAAATCATGGAAAAACTACAACAGCTTTAATAATCATTCAGAGAATTGTGGACTGTTTTTGCAGTTTCTTGGCCAGTAGACCTTGTGCACCTTACCATAAAAAATGTTTCCCAATACTGAAAGTTGGTACAGCTTTTCATATAATGGTCATAATAGTAATAATAAAGAGGATATTAATGATGTATGTGATCTTTACTGGCTGCCAAACACTGTCAGTATGCTGTAAGTGTGATCAGAGAGTAGAACTTTTTAGTTAAGAAGACTGAGTTGCAGAAAGGTTAATAAACTCGAGCAAGGTGCACTATTTATGGACAGAGCAAAAATGTAAACTTAAAGCCATCTTTTCCATACCTGTAAGCATGCAAACAGCTCACTAGTTGCAACTGTCTGTGGTATCTTTGCCCTCTTCATAAATGCAAAACCACAGGCAGAGAACCTTCCAAATGTTCATCAAAAAACACTGACATTTAGTGTGGCCTCTGTGGTTTGTTTGGAAAATATACTTTTTTTTTTTTAACTCTGAACATTATTTGCAAAAAGCTTTGCTCAAAATTTTAGCAGCTATAGCTTCAACTATGTTATTATGTTCTACTATATTATAAACATAAGAATTTATTAAGCTTGAATCTAAATTGTTACAATTTTAACTTCATTTGAACATGTCTAATTTTCCCTGTTAGAATTATGACAATATTCATATTCTCTTCATTGTTGGTTCTGGTAGTTAAGAAACGTGTAAGATAGCCTGTGGTGTGAGTAATAGATCAGTGCACACAATATTTCTCTTTTTCACCTTTCCTTTAGGCTTGACACTCTCATGCAGTTTATTCTTTATTGTTTTCCCACTTGTCTCTGTCCCCTCTAATAAAACTTTTTTCTTCCCTCTCCCTTTTGAATTGAATTTTCTTCCCTCCTTAGTAACATGTGAGTTGCTTGAAAGATGCTTGGGCTTTCAATTTCTGATTATGGAATTTCTAATTCTTTGTTACTTTTATTTGGATTTTGGCACACCACAGTTGATGTTGCAAAATACTCTTGCAGTCCTGGCAGAAGAGATATTGTTTCATTGTACAGCTTGTACTATATGACTGTGAAGGAAGGTCATTTTATTTTAAACATTCATTCATGTATGATAACAAAGACACTAATTCTACTGGTGGTGCTAAAAATATGGCTGACTGTTGCTTCCAGCATCTTCAGGACCTGTCACATCCTAGTTGTGACCTCTAATACATTTCATAGAGTAGTAAACTATTCCTGACCTTGATCAGGATTCACTGAAACATCGGTAGATGTTAACACAACCTTAACCTCATGCAATCAGTGATTCCAGGCTAGATGCCAAATGTGTGGTTGTTACTTATGTGCAATTCCTTTCCCTAGAGCTCTGAGCTGTGTAAGATTCTCCTCCCCCCAGAATTTGTATGTTCTCCATGCCCAGCACTACCGTACTGAAATGGCTGGAAAATAGGCTTTTGACAATTTAGTATCCTAAGTTGTATCTTGTCTAATATAAAAGGATTTTTCATGAAATGTTGAAATACATTTAAAACTCATTGATAGTGTTGTAATAGGCCGTTATGGATTCTAAGTAATGTTTCTTTTATAGGCAACATAATTACAAGTGAATTACGAATGTAGATTTTTATGACTAATTAAACTCTAGGCCAAAATCCATTAAAAATAGATTACGCACCTTAAATTGGATGTAAGCAAAAATAAATATGCCACAGGATGGAACTATCAAAATAAATGAGAAGCAACAATGTCCAATAACTTACTTATATACAAAGTTGATATCAATATAACCTAAAACATTTTCTTGGGTTTTGCCAGAGAAAAAAAATTTTCATACCCAATTTCATGATCATATAGACTAGGGAGTCCAGCCCACGCAGGGGGCTGGATGCAGCCCCGGACAGCTGGCGACGTGACTTCACAGGACCACGAACTCCCAACACGACTCTGTGGTTTTAGTGACATTTCTCACGACACCGCGCCTGGGGGCAGCTGAGCTCTGCGTCCCTTTCGAGGGAACCCTACCTCCTGCGCCTACCACCCTGGGCGGACTGCAGACCCTCGTGTATCAGATCTTGCATGGCCTTGGAACTGGGAGCGAAGCCCAGGACCTTTCCCTACAGCCGTGCTCAACCTGCCTACACTGGGGCTGCTACTAGGCAGACGTGGAAGTTTTCTTGTTTAGTTATTAGTGTCGGGCCTGTGGCATTGTCTGTAAAATAATTTAATAATTAGTTAAAATACAAAAAAGGAAGAACGTCTACCTATACACACTGACTATGGTAGATGTTATACGCAGCCTCAGTGTGGCCCAGAAAAGCCCAAAGATTGAACTTCAATCCATGACTCTAATTATGCCTTACTTCATTCTACTTCATTTTACATTTTAAAAAAATATCTCTGAAGCACAAGAAACTGGAAGAAGTTCTGTTTTAGTTACCAGAACGAGTACAGCGGAACCCCGAAACTCTCGGGAGTTCTATTCCTAGAGCACCCTTGAATCGAGAAAAACCGCAAATTTCAAACGTGGTCAGCAAAACGGCTCTAAATGCCTATTTTTATAGTTTAAACCCTAAATACACTATATCTCCTGCAGGATTTAATTTAATACAATACTATATTGTAAACCCTTAGAAAGTGCAGTGTTTTGGTGGGATTTGGGACTTTAAAAAGATCAAAACCGAGAACACTGGAGATGGCTACATGTGGTACTGCTGTTATGATTAGGAAACGCTGGTGCATCTGCCAAGATGGTTACAGGGCAGCAGCCAATCAGAAGCAAGGAGAACTGAACAATGCTCTCGGATTGGCTACTTGCAAACTTCCCATCCCCACCCCCAAAATTGCAGAGCATATTCTGTAGTTTCTGCAAAATTGCGGGGGTTTCCACCAACAATTATTAGTTAGGTTCCAAGGGAAATCCTGAGAATGACTGAAGCCATGAGCCCCGATTTGCGATTTTGCAGGCATATAATATATGAATTATAAACTCAAAAGTATTTAATTGTGGGGAATTTATTTTGTAAGAATAAAATCAAATGGCTGAAAATTAACTTGAAAAAGCTGTGTAACTGCTTATATGAGCAGATCTTAAGATAAAGTCCAGGAGGGTGGTGACCCCTCAGTCTCCATTTCATGACGCTCATTACTGATCTGCTCTTTCTGAAGCTTTCCAATGCTACACGATTGGACTGCCTAAGGCAAAAGGAGCTCGTCGCATACTCTGTCAGTAACACTCAGCTCCACCTCATCCTCATGTCATCCTTCAGCTCTATCCTGCTTCTCTAGAACAGAATGAAAGAGTGGGAATTACACAAAGTTTGTGTTTGGTATCTCTGATCTGAACAAGGGCAGGAAGAGCCGAGGCAAAGATACGGACCCAAACCAAAAATGTTTCCTAGCCAGAGAACCCTGGGGTGCAAAGAAAGGCCAAAGCAAGCAGTATTTCAAACAGAAGATGAGGAACAAATACAAACAAATGCGTGCGAAACTATTATGTTAAAGGAAAATAAATAAGTTAGCACAGGTATGTTAAAAATTCCGGGTGATTCTGTCTTGTCCAGGAGAAGGTGACATGGCTGAGAGTAACATTTAAAGGCAGCACCAAAAAGAACTTCTCGTTAGGAACCTGATGGAATACATATGGACACGTGCTACCCCTACATGGCACTAATGAAAGATTTTTGCGAAGGAAAGAGAAGCAAAGTAGATTACTCTCTGTTATGTTTTCTACTGTGAAATTTGCATCAGGGGAGGCTGATAGTTCCTGGAGGAGATGCGTGCTGTTAACTTAGAGAAAACAAGTGGCAATAAGTCATGGACATTTAGACTAAGGCTGGGATGTAGCTCCATGTAACAGCGCTTGCCAACCTGGGAAAGACCCTGGTTTTAATTCCTAGCGCTGTGGAGGGAAGCAAAGAAAGAAGGAAAGGAAAATGGTGCGGGGCGGGGAGGAGAGGAAAAGCAGGAGAGGGAGAGAGAGGAAGGAGAGAAAGGAAAGGAGGAAGATGAAGATGAAATAAAGAGGTTGTACTAACTCATTCCATTGAACAGGGAGTTCTGAAAATAGAAATGCATTTAGAACACAGGTTGAAGAAAATAACTTTTCGAGGGAAGCATAATGGATTTAGAGATGTTATAAAATCTCTTGAGTGTTTGTTCTTTCTAGTTCTCTTTAGTTCTCACCATGAACTGCGGTTGGTCTATGGGAAGAAAGTAAACTAAGCCTATGCCTTACCGCCTCCACCTCGGCAGGGTCGTACCAAACATTGATATAGGGGTGCTGCAAGGCGTCATCCACAGATATCCTCTTTGCTGGGTCAATCACTAGCATCTTTGACAACAAATCCCTGGCTTGGCTGGCTGAAACAATAAATGAGAAAAATAATTAGGATGATTTTTATTTCAGCAAGGGACTTGGTTGGATGGAGAAGAAACTAAGAAAACAAATAATTGGCTACTGTTTTCTAAACATCAGAAAAATTTTTAATTTGCCGAAAAAGGAAATGCATTTTACATTTCTTCATGTGTCTTAAAGACCATTTGGGTCCCACTGGGGGTTACGATGCTCTGAGTGGATGGGCAAAGTTCTTCACTGGGTTTTCTATATAACCCCTCTCCACCCAAAGTAACCTGTGCAAGGTAATCTGATTGAGTAATCTGCAAGAACATAGGCAGATGAGACATGCAAACTCGTGATGCTTTGCAAATGTGGGGATGGCTGCTTGGGGCTAAATCATGGTATGTGTATTCATATTCTTATTCATATAATGACATTATCAGGATTTGAGTAGGACTAGCCCCGATGTAAAGGCTCATAACATCCAAACTTCTTATAATCATAAAAACAATCAAGTGCAGATGTGATGGAAATTATACCATTCATTTTAATGTTCTGTAATCATCAGGCATCTTAAATCAACAGAATCACGACTTGGTAAAAATCCAAGAGTTAGTGGCTAAAGCCATTCCAGAGCTACACCTGCTACATAGTAATGAAATGTTCCATATGATATTCATGCTCCCGTGATTAATTTTGTGGTTGTGGGCAGTACTAGTTATAAAATTATATGGTGATAATCAGCAAGCTTATTTATCTAATAACATTGTTTAGAGACAAATTATTTTTATCTCTGAAACACAATATTTTGCATAAAATAGTTTTAACCAAAATAATAAATATGAGTATTTTAAATGAATACTTCTACTCAGCTGATATGAAAGGTTAACAGTGAAAATATTCAATGTGTCCCAAATACATAAGACTTCAAATTTAGAGAGCAGCCTCAATTAATTTAAGAAAAAGTCAACATTCTTAAGCCCATTATCATATCTTAAATTTATTATTAAGACAATTGAGTCAATTGTACAATATAAAAATTGTAAAATATAAAAATGAGAAATATCAACTATCCCCACAAGTGAGAGATATATTTTTCTAGTGTAAATTTTTCATATAATTATTTTCTGTTTAGTTTTTTTCACATAATTTTGATAATACTAGTGTTGAAATATAACAAACTATTTTTTATCTACCCTATAAGTATTTTGTGTTTTTGTATTTACCTTCTTTTTTTTTCTTTTTAATGAGTTTATTGGTACAATCTAGGTTTACATTACAGTTACATTCATTACTGGGATCCTGTACCTTCATATGACAGGTCCTGGTTCTCCTTTTTTCCCCTTGTATCTTACCCTCCCTTCACCCTCTCCTCCCCTCCCTATTTACAAACATTTTATTTCCATTTTTTCATTTTATCATATTTTTTGCTTTTCTTTTATTCCCTTTCCCCTACCCTTCCTACTTTCCCTACAGCTTTAGCCCCTTTCTTCCTTTTTCACACTATTAATTATCCCATTAGGATCTTGTGTACTATCATAGTTTTTCAAACCAGAGAAACTATTCAGTATTTACACATGTGTGACTTATTTATTTCACTTAAGAGTATATCCTCAATATGTATCCATTTTCCTATGAATGACTAATTTTTCATTCTAATGTTTTGTGCTAATATAAAAATCATTAGGTAAGTCAGACTTTGGGACATTTTATTTCTATAGACTACTTTTCTGGTAAACTCAATTATAAAAATTGATTAAGTATCATTTCCAAATAAAATTTTGAAGTTCACAAGGATAATAAAATTATATAGTAATTCAAAATTAAATCTTTCTAATCACCTGTAGGCTTCTACTAGCCTAAGAAGAGGGTGTTTTTAAGTCACTAGTTGAGAGACCTCTTTGTTTTATACCAGAGTTGACACTCCAGCCTCACCCACCTGCATGTCTAAGCACAGGGGCTGGCAGTGCCGTAGATCTTACCAAGAAGCAAACATCCATACCTCATGTAGGAAACAAAGTGATGAAAAAGGTTCAGTGCTTGATCTTTCCTTTTTCAGCAAAGCTGTTATGCTCTTTTCCAAATACAGTAAATCCTCCCCACTGTTTACTGGTATATTATGAGTCCTCATAACATGCCAATTGTATGCAAAAATTAAAATTAAATAATCATAGATATACAAACTTTTTTAAAATTTATAATTAAAATTATAATTTATAATGTAATTTGGGGGGTACCAGGGATCGAACTCAGGACCTCGGCCTTGAGAGGCAAGTGGCGGCCCCACTGAGCTAAATCTCTGGCCCCGTAACTTTTTATCATTGTAATTGAAGAGGTACAAACTAAACTCAAACAAATTGAAATCACATTGCAATTTTATATTAAAATGTAATATTTGTTTACTTATTTTTCTACAAGTGTCGTCACTGTCACTTAATAGTTTGATGAGAGCTTTGCTGTCTCTATCTTGTTACACTATAAGTATCTTTAAGAAGGGATTTCTTTCCCTTAATATCGCAATTAGGAAAGCATAAACACTGACACACTTGGAGTATGAGCTTTTTTCCCATCTATATTTTTATACTGATGGCTTTCAAAACAAAAGCTTATAATAACTTAGTGCATTGCCATTCACGGAATCCATGGAGGCGGGTGAAGGAAGAAATACCCCATGAAAGTATCAAGAACACAGAAACAATGTGATAACTGCAGACACAATAGCAGAGAGAAGCCGTTTACTAGGGACGTGTTATGCTGAATAACAATCTCATTTACTGCTCTACATTGTAGCAACAGGTGGTTAAGCAGTCCGTAGAATACAAGTAAAAGAAACTCTTGACACCTGCATCTCCAAGATTTTACAACTGAAAACTTGTGTTGATAGTATTTTCTAGGTAGTAAAAAGGAGTGAAACAATGACTTCACGTGTATCACATTGGTCTTTTAAAGTTACACGTCAAAAAAATAATTTTAAGATTCACAATAAACCCCCACGACATAGCTACTCTATGCCACCGCCCTGCACTTTATTCTTCTCCTTCCCTCTGTGGGTCTACACAATTATAAAACCCTGTGCTACTCCCCTTGGTAAGAAAGCACTTTCAAGAAAGACCTCTCCTGTTTCACATTATTATTAATTATCGCATTAGGATCCTGTGTACTATTATAGTTTTCGCACCAAAGAAAATATTCGGTATTTCAGTTAAAGAAATCTCTGTATGAACATTAAAAATAGGGAATCCTAAAATATAATTAAAAAGGAAAGTAAAAGAGAAAAGGCAATGATGTAACATCAAAATAATCCTTAATTCTGGAGATGAAAATGGTCCCCGAACATATTTAAATTGCTTCTTGCTCTTATAGTCTTATCTTATTCTTTTTTCATTATTTAGAGAATACTTTATTAGTTTCTGTAATCAAACCCACGTAGACATGTCCTTACATATTTAGTACGATGTGTTACCCCTGTACACATGGAAAAAAATAAAAATAAATTAACAATGTGAAATAGTAAGTAAAGGGCTAAAGGTGTAGGGAAGGTGGGAAGGGTGGGGGAAAGGTAATAAGGGAGAGGAAAAAAATATGAGAAACTGAAAAAATGGAAATAAAGTGTTTGTAAATGGGGAGGGGAGGAGTGGGTGAAGGGAGGGCAGGGACAAGGGGAAAAAAATGAGAATCAAGACCTGTTATGTAAAGGTACAGACTCCCAATGATGAATGTAACTGTATTGTATACCTAGATTGTACCAATAAACTCAATTAAAAAAAAAAAAAGAAAATCAATGATGAATGATAAAAAAAAAAAAAAGAAATACCTCTCCTTGGTTGTTTTGTTTTGTTTGAGATAGGGTCTCACTGTGTAGTTGAGACTGACCTGGAACTCCCTGTGTAGCCCAGGCTGGTTTCAAACTCACAGTGATCTTGCTGCCTCAGCCTCCCGAGTGCTGGGATTACAGGCGTGCGCCACCACGACCGGCTTGCCTCTCCTTATCTTGAAGTAGTTCTAGTTAAAGAAAGATCCCTGGACCACCTGTGTTTTAGCCCACGGATTTCCTGATCTTCCTAGGGTTGCCCCCCCCCCCCAGGAGAGTACCTTTGAGTTTATTGTGCTCAGAGTCCGCTGGGAAGAGGGAATCTGGGAAGAGCTTGGGAAAGGTGAGCCCAGCATACTTTGGCCGATTCTCCACGTAGTTTCTTACTGTGGGCTGCAGTTTCTTCATGAATTCTGGACATGGTGTTCCTAGTTGTTCAATGACTTTATTCCACTGGTCAATATCTGAGAATTTAATAGTTAAGGCAAAAAAAAAAAAAAAAAGAAGAAGGAGGAGGAGAAGAAGGAGGAGGAGGAGGAGGAAGAAGAAGAGGAAGAAAAGCAGGCTACGAGCTCTTCTCTTTCAATAATCAGAAAGCTAACTGTTCTCAGAATCCCAAACAATTATCAAAACAACTGAGGTTTAATAAGTAACATAATGAACTATAAAATCAGAATTGTTAGGCAATGAAACCTGTTGGAATTTTAAATCCACTTTTGTAACAAAGACACTTTTGGAGAGCTAATATTATTTAACAAACACAGAACTGTGAAATAGTCTTTAGTTTATAAAGATAAAAAATTATCTAAATAACACAAGAATCATATTGAACTTTCCATAAAATTATGAGAATTTTTGAAAAGATATTTCACAGTGGCCTTTTTAATCCTGAAGTTACTGAAATCGTTATATTTTAAAATATCATGTATACAAATATGTTAAATACTTATTTACATTTTTCCTAAATTTCCTTTAAGAGTTTTTTTCTCTTTTCAAAAAATTAGGAAACTCCATCACTAAATAATGTTTTCTACTTATACACAGTACAAATGGAATCAATACAATTTTGGTTTGTTTTTTAGTTTTTCTATTAACATGTAAAAACTGCATCTATTTTCTGGGAATGCTCCAGTATTTATTGCATATATACATTGTGTAACATGCAAATCAGGGTAAGACTCTCTATTTTTGGTGAAAAGGTGCTAAATATTTTCTTCTGGAAAATTCAGAATATTATTATTATCTGTAGTCATGTTATAGTCATCCTATAAGCAATAAAACATCTGAGTTTATTTTTTCTAACTATAACTTAGGTAACCCTTGACCTGGTACTCATCTTTTCTTCCCACCTCCTTCTGAGGCTCAGGTAACTGATTGAAACTCTCCTGTGATCTATCGTCTGCATTTGATATACCATAGTCTTCATACAATCAGTACCCGCCTTGAAAAATCTCAACAACCAGCAAGAAGCAGTGGATTTCAAACAGATTTCCTCGCCAGGCATCAGTGAATGAGAGAGGTCTTGGAAATTTGCCGTGGGTTCAACATTACGAGCAGTAAGTAACTCTCCTACAACTCTACATCATTTATTCTTCTCTAACTCTATTCTTTAACATTAACTCATTTCTACTAAAAGAATATATGGCAGTTTAAAAGCCCTAAACATAATACTAATTAACTGAGCATTTTAAAGTCTTTACTCACAACTTTCAAGAAATGTAAACTAAGAAAGATTGGCAGTCCAGAGGAGAGACAAAATGACTGCATTTAACCTCAATAAATATACAATGCAAACAGTGGGTGGGAGAGGGAAGCAAGATGAAATCAAGTTAATCTGTAAACCTTTTTCTACCTTCCTTAAAATTTGACTAAGATTTAAATTACTACATACACTCCCAGGTATTATGATGAAAAGCACACATATATAACAATGAACTATCAAGAAATGGCATGCAGGTGGGAACAACTGAAGAATACTTCTTCACAAGACATCAGCAATGGTGCTTGCTTTGGCAGCACGTACACAAGACATCAACAATAGTTAAACAAGAACATGCCAGGGATTTAGCTCAGTGGTTCCACTGACTACCTCGCAAGTGCAAGGACCCGAGTTCTATCCCCGGTAGCAAAAACAAACAAACAAAAATTCATGTGCATGAGAATTATTATTATTATTATTATCATTATTATGTGCATGAGAATGTAGGAGTAAGTGAGTCATTAGAAAGAGGAGAAATTAAAACATATAAGGTTAGATTTGCAAGTCACTCTTAAAAACTCATAAAAACTCCCCGGTTTTAACTATTTAGATATATTTAAATAGCATTTAAATAGGTGAGCATCTGTGACACAATCGAATGCTTATCTTTATCCTTATAAATTATGAGAAGAATCCCATTTTGTAAAACAGGTTACCATGACTTATGGAGACATCATGTAATTACTGGTCAAACTTGCTCAGAACTCGAAGGATTTGATATCACACTTAAAACAGAGACAAAGAAGCTGTTGGATTTTCTATAAATAAGTCACTTTTAAAAGTTGGTGAAATACTTCTAGCACATGATTATATTTTAATTACACTTAGCTAGAATTATAATATTATTCAACTAAGATTTAGGTACCTTTAAAATAGCATCCCCAAAATAATTCAGTGGTATTTAAGGGTAAAATTTAAGGAGAGTCAGGTATTTTGGAATTTGTTAAATAAGAACGGTTTATAGGTCATAATCAGAGTCTATAGAAGCACATAGTGTATTTAGACATATTTTCAAAAGGAAAGCCAAATTTATTTTTGGAAAAGCATTTATTTGCTTTAGAATATAAGGCATCACTTTTATATATTAGGGTTAGCAGATGCAATTCTCAATAAAAATCAACAAATACATGGGTTACTGTACTTTTGATCTACTGTTTCAGAAAGTAATATAAATTATAAAAGGCACTGAATTATATGAGAAAATATCATTCAATAAGAGTTGATAGGACCCAGGATTTAGCTCAGTGGTTCAGCCACCTGCCTTGCAAGCACAAGGACCCTAGTTCAATCACCAGTATCAAAAAAAACCAAAACAAAAATTAAATTAAAAGATAAATAAATAAACACCTTCACTGCCTTTAAAAAAAGAGTTGATAGTAAATTTCCTCACTCTAAATTAATTACATAAAAAATAGAGTAACATTATAAAAAGTTTGTTTTCATGGTTATGATGACAAGGCAATTTGTAAATATGATTGAATATTACTAAGGTCTTCAGCATTATAATTAGAGAATAAAAACATACATGGATAGTAAAAATTAGTATGTAAAATCCCTAGACTGAAAATTATTTCAGTTAATATCAACTACCTAAAAGGACTTACATTTCAATCACCTCTCTTGCTTTAGCTTCCCTGGATGGTTTGAACATAATATATGAAAAATATCTCATCCCTTGCTGAGTATATTTGTTTTAATTATGAATGTAATGTATGCTACGCACACCTAAGATTTCAGATGTTACTAAGTGGGATCATAAAGAGGAATTTAATGACCTCATTCCATGGTGTCCTTCGAATTAATATATCTCTTTTTATGTTTTCTCCCATCTTTGATTGCTTCTTTGTTATTGGGACCATGATTTCCAGGGCTAACACCCTACCTCATAGTATATAACTTGCTTTCCATTCTGTTTTAGGCCTGTGCTCAATCTTCTGTGCAAAATGTGATCTCTAGTTGCACCTTAAAGAGAATCAGCAGTTGTCTCCAAATTCATAGCTATTTCCTGAAGATAAGATTGCCTTATCATAGCAATATCTATACGGCATAGTTCCACCAAAGGCTATTTTCTTTCATAAGTCAACCAATTGCCCGGGCACTGTGTTGAGTATGATTTCATATCCTTACATTAGTCCTCTAGGAAAGAGTTTTATGATAAATTACTGTCTGCAGTGGAAATATGATAGAAAATAGAAGCACATTGCCGTGTATTAAGCATTGGGATCTAAAACTGTGGTTCCCAGCCCTAGTTTTATATCCCGATCCTGAATATTCATAACATAGGAAACTTACAAAAATACAGACCTTTGTCTTCTCCTTATTGGATCTATAGGATGCTGCATCCATAGGTCTCTGATGATATAAAAATGCCAATGATAACTGTGATTCAGATGGTCCTTGGACCACATCTTAAAAACCACTAATGTAGAATGCACTAACAATCCCTTAGGAGTTACTAAGTTTCTCAAGATATAAGAGTAAAGCATGTGTTGCAGTTTTCTAACACAAATTCGAATAGGTTCTAATTCACTAAAAGAGTCTGCCATACCTATTTGCTATGGGAATCTCAGAGGTCCTGCAAGTAGGAATACTTTGGGGAAAGGACAATTGTAATCCTCATTTTTCTCCCTCATGTCTCTTTTCTGCAAAGGTCATGGAAATTTGTAGTAAAGGACACATGTAGGACCCTACTACAGGAAAGATTCTGCTTATCAGCATCGAAGGGAGACTTGAGATCCTGTGTTGCTATTACCTGGAGGAACGACCTGTGGAACACTCAAAATCTGTTCAATATAATGTAGAAAATATTAGTTTATTCTGGTAATTATAATTCTTCTCAACAAAATTTGTTCTTAAAATAACTTTTACTTTCGAAGAAAATTATAAGATCAAGATAGACATATGTCTTATAAATTATAGACATATCTATACAGTATGTACGCTATATATGACAGAGTTCTGCATCTGTATTTTCATATTGATGTTTTGAACTGTTTTGTTCCTTTAGAAAATTTTTCCCTTGAAATGAGGCATATGCAGAGCACACACTTGGCATGGCCGAGGCTCCCTGGGTTAGATCTCTGGCAATGCAAAAAAAAAAAAAGTTCTTATTTTGTTTTTCATTTAAAAATGTTCTCTTCCTCTCACAAATATCCCTTAAGTTCTGATAGCATAAAATATGAATAAGTGACTTAATGCACAATTAACTAACATCTGTTTGTACTATGAATGAGCACAGGAAAAGGAAATATTATAAGCCAGATCACATAAAAACGTCAAAGCTGACAAATTGAGGAAAAGGCTATTTGTTCCTTGGCAGGAAAATGCTAGTGGGATTCTGCAGGACTCGGAATGTCCAAAGGCTGATATTTAAGCACAAGGCATGTGGGCCTTGCTACAATCTATCTTGTCTTATAAAGCTATTTACTATTTTAATTATGTTACAAATCAAAACTCAGGAAGACATTTGACATTTTCCTGTATGTATTAATATGAGTTGCAGAGGCAAATTTTTCATACAGCTGTTGAGGTTAATTTTAGGGGCCTCTCATTTGCACTCTGTCTCATTTCGAATTTGAAGTATTAATTCTCAGTTGCAAACAGCACTCTCCTCTAATTGTACATTGATCTGATTTCTCAAATGGTGGATCCGACTAAGCATATTGAAACTGAGAGGTAGCTTTGGAAATGGAGTCTGGCATGTATTTTAGAGCTGAAAAATATGAAAGTTTTTTTTCCATTTGGTGAATAGCATTACTTTGAACAAAGGAGTTAATACAAATCACCTACACTAAAAGAAATATAGGATCTATTTATTTTAGAAGCATAATAGAGTCACTATGTGCTCAGTTCTGTGAAGTGGCTTGAAAGTTGCATTCAGCTCTGGGTATAACTCTATATACAATGGAGGTTAAGAAAGGACAGTGAAACTTACATAAGGTCAATAAAACAACCACAAGAGGCATATTTAACAGAACTTTTGATGTTTAAACTTAAAAAGAAAGGAGGCAATTTCTGCTTTCTGTCTTAGCACTTTAATCCTTTGTATCTTGCAGCTGTTACCACCTTAATATACCGTTACTTTATCTTCAAACTTCTTGATGATCAGAAGGGTTATTGACCAGTGTATCTCTATGGGTAATGAGTGCCTGGCACATAATAAGTGCTCAAAAATAACTTGTAAGTTAACAAATGTCCAATTTGTGCTCAGTTTCATATGGGGTAAAGAACACATAGGATTTATGAAACCTTCAAAGAAACAAAGCCCGAGGTATCCAAGGAATTAAAGAAAGCTTGGAAGCTAGGAAACATTGAATCTCAAGGGAGATAAATAAAAGGAAATCCAGGCAGGTCACCTAGTAGGAAAATAGCAGATAACCAAAGACCAAGAAAAGAATCTTAAATGAGGGAATAGGAAGCCTATCTCTTCTGATGACTAATACACTGACATTATTCATCAGCAACACTATTTTACCCCGAACAAAATACAGTTTTATCAAAGACTCCACTGAAAGACTTTCCCAATAATGTAATTCAGGGGAAAAGCAAACAATCTCAATATAAAAAGCTAAACTGCAAGAAGTGGTAGTAAGCTGTGAAAATGAAAATCCAAATAGCAAGAGGACATACTTGCAACATATAAAACTGACAATGATTGGATACCAGTTTTACAAATTAAGAGGAAAAATAACATAAATTCAATAGCAAAAAAAATAAAAAAAATAAAAACAACCAAGGACATTTTACCAAGGAGAAAATAACAATACCAATATATAAAAGAAAAGAAGCTTAGCTTCCTTGTACAATAAGATGGAAATTTAAACTCCAAAGAGGCAGGCATTATTTTAATCCAAGAGATTAGTAACAAATTTAAAAATACAACTGACAATACCAAAGTTGGAGAGGATGTTAGGCAGAGAGCTCTGTATCAAATACACTGTTAATTTAAGCTCAAGTAGAGTTTACATCAAAAGTAAAAAATGTGTCCCCTAAGACTGCTATCTATTAATTAAAACTCTCATATATGCACTCCTGCAAACTTACTGGCATTATTGTTTATAAAGACAAATATAAAAACTTAAAACTTTGAGTATATCCCCAAGTCTGTTTACAGGCAAATGGTTTAGGTGTGGGATATTAATGGGCTGGAATAGTATACAGCAATGAAAACTGGATAACCATCTAATCCATCAATATAGATATCTAAAAACACTTTTTAGAAAGCAACTCAAAAGATAATAACAATAAAATATGCAAAACACATAAAATTATACCATAAAGCCTTACATACATGTCTTGTGATAAAAATATAAGGACAGTAAAAACAAATATATAGAAATAAGAGTATCTTTAAAAAAAGGAAATGTGGCTAGAGTTAAGATTACAAAAGTATTTGGAAGCATTGGTAATGCTATTTTTTAATCCAAGGGGTAATATATGTGTGTTTACTTTATTATTCCTCTTCCAGAGCTAACACACTTGTATAATATAAAATACTTTATAAGTTTTGAAGTAAAAATATCAACTATATTCAAATTTGTTAGATCTCCCAAAACAAATGACCTCAACAGTTGAATTTTGAGTCTGTTGCAGAATGTTAAAAATATATCTGATTGAATGAAATCCAATTAATATCTATTTCAATATATTAACACAATAGAATTTTT